TTCAAATTAGGCCTTCTTGTGGAGTTAATGTATTGACTTTTTTTTCTTAATCATAATATTCTGATTGATGACACTATCATACCTAACCTTCCCATTGAATTGTATCAAATGAAGACAGTTTTATTAATAAGGAATTTTACATTTAGAAAATAAAGAAGAGGAAAACAAATAAATCACCCATTTTTCTAACACTTAGGAAAAATATCCCTGTTTTTACTTTTACTTCCCTGGCTTTTATTTTGGTCTTTAAAATATTTTTCATTCATCTTACACTGTTGGGAACATACTGAATAAATGTGTTTTTTTCATATTCCAGAATTGCATATAGTAATACATATATATATATGTGTATATATATAGAGAGGGGAGGAGGGGGAGAGAGAGAGAGATAACATTGGCAAAACCTTTGGATAGAGATTTAACTATAGTTCCCTTTCAAGTCACATCCATTGTCATTCACCTTAGTTATTGTTCCATTCTCTCATGCCCAATTCTGCTGCATTTTAATCAATTATTGGCTATAAAATTCTCCCTCCATTGCTGTTGTGGCAGGGCCTCCTGGCATCTCTGCTGTAGTGTTTTCACTGCAATACTTGTTCCATGTCCATAACACAGGATTCCCAGTCCTGTTTGACCTGGCTGCCCTCAAATCCATTCTTGACTCCCACATTTTCATGGTGCTCCTGCCAGCTCATGCTGCTCTCCTGCTGAAGTGGTGCAGTGGGAGCCTAGGCTTGGTGTGGAGTGGCACAAGAATGAGCAAGGACATGAGAAAGTCTAGTGGTGTGGGTTTGAGGGAAAGTGTGTTGGTGGCTGTACAACTGGGAATCCCATGCTATTCAATTCAGGCTGAGAAATAATCATCAATAATGTTTGATACTTAAAGAGGTTTTGAAAATTATGTAAGGAAAAAAGTCAACATATAGATTGAATGCTATAAAAATGGTATTTGATCATCTTTTGATCTACTGAGAGAATAATTTTATATGGTTCAAACCAATAAATACATATAAGCCTGGAGATTAACAATTTTTTGATAAATACTAAAGACAAAATTTCAAAATGAATTTCCTATACATTTAATCTTTTTCTTTCTATCCAAATATACTTTATTAACTTTTTCATTTTTACATTTCAACTTTTATTTTAGATATAGTGGAGATTTGTTTTAGATACGTGCAGGTTTGTTTCATGAGTATATTGCATCCAGGTGGTCAGCATAGTACCCAGTTGGTAGTTTTTCAACCCATGCCTCTCTCCCTCTTCCCTCTGATAGTCCACAGTGTCTATTGTTCCCATGTCTATGTCTATTTCTGTTCCTGCATTAGTTTGCTTAGGATTATGGCACCCTCGCTCCATCTATGTTACTGCAAAGGACATTATTTCATTCTTTTTTATGGCGGTATAGCCCTCTGTGGTGTACATGTTCCCGCACTGTCTTTATACAATCCACCATTGATAGGCACCTAGTTTGATTCCATGTCTTTGCTATTGTGAATAGCACAGTAATGAACATATGAATGCATATGTCTTTTTGGTATAATAATCTATTTTCCTTTGAGTATATACTCAACAATGGGATTGCAGGGTCGAATGGTAGCTCTGTCTCAAGTCATTTGAGAAATCGCCAAACTGCTTTCCACAGTGGCTGAACTCATTTGCTTTACCCCACCAACAGTGTGTAGGCATTCCCTTTCCTCTGCAGTCTCACCAGCATCTGTTGTTTTTTGACTTTTTAGTAATAGCCATTCTGACTGATGTGAGATGGTATCTCATTGTGGTTTTGATTTGCATTTCTCTGATGATTAGAGATACTGAACTTTTTTTTTTTTTCATATGGTTGTTGGATGCTTGTATGCCTTATTTTGAGGAAGTATCTGTTCTTGTGTCCTTTGCCCATTTTTTAATGGGGTTATTTGTTTTTTTGCTTGTTGATTTATTTAAGTTCCTTATGGATTCTGGCTATTAGACCTTTGTCGAATGGACAGTTTGTGAATATTTTCTCCCATCCTGTAGGTTGTCTGTTTATTCTAGTAATAATTTCATTTGCTCTGCAGAAGCTTTTTTATCAATTAAACAAAATTACTTATCAATTTTTGTTTTTAAAAATTGTTTTGTTGTCTCATGAATTTTTGTTTTCATTGCAATTGCTTTTGGGAACATAGCCAAAAGTTCTTGCCAAGGCCAATGTTGAGAAGGATATTTCCTAGATTTTCTTGTAGAATTTTTAGAGCTTGAGGTTTTACATTTAAATCTTTAGTAATCCCCCCGACTTATTTCTTGTATATCATGAAAGGAAAGGATTTACATATTTTACATTTAAATCTTTAATAATCCCCCCGACTTAATTTTTGTATATCATGAAAGGAAAGGATCCAGTTTCATTCTTCTGCATATGGCTAGCTAGTTATCCCACCACCATTTATTGCATAGGAAGTCCATTACCCACTGCTTATTTTTGCTGGTCTTGTTAAAGATCAGATGGTTGTAAGTGTGCCCCTTTATTTCTGAGTTTTCTATTTGGTTCCATTGGTTTATGTGTCTGTTTTTGTACCAGTACTATGCTGTTTTGTTTACTATCGCCTTATAGTATAGGTGGAAGTTGAATAATATGATGTTTCTGGGTTTGTTCCTTTTGCTCAGAATTTCTTTGGCCATTTGTGTTCTTATATGATTCCATATGAAATCCAGATTTTTTTTTTCTAATTCTGTGAAGAATGACATTGGTAGTATGATAGCAAAGATTGAATCTGTAAATTGCCTTGGGTAGTGTGGCCATTTTAATGTATTGATTCTTCTAATCCATGAGCATGGAATGTTTTTCCATTTATTTATATTGTCTATGATTTCTTTAGCAGTGTTTTGTAGTTCTCCTTGTAGAGATCTTTCACCTCCCTAGTTAACTGTATTCTCAGGTATTTTATTTTCTTTATAAGAATAAAATTATAAGTGGGATTGTGTTTTTTATTTGGCTTTTGTCCTGGACATTGTTGGTGTGTAGAAATGCTACTGGTTTTTGTATGTTGCTTTTGTATCCTGAAGCCTTACTAAAATCATTTACAATTCTGGAAGCCTTTTGGCAGAGTCTTTAGGATTTTTTAGGTATAGAATCATATCATTAAGTAAAGTAGGATAGTTTTACTTCTTCTTTTCCAATTTAGATATCTTTTATTTCTTTCTCTGGTCAGATTGCTATGGCTAGGACTTAGCAATGGTTCTCCATGTATTGATTTTTGTTTCTCCACAACAGATTGAATGCCTTTTCCAGTTAGAAGTGACATGTATATTTTAATTCTCTGTAATATAACAATGGTATAATAACAATGGTATAATAGGTAGCCTTGCAGCTGTATTTTTAGCTCATCTATTGTTATTATATGAAGTAATGTTGTTGAGGTGGGATTCTTAGTTATTAAGTTAAGGAAAAAATTAACCCTTTGATATCTACTTAGTGCCTTCTAGAGACATTGTATTAATTTGCACTATTCCTTTAAGTATTTGAGAATGTCTATTTCCTGACAGCCTCATCCATAGAAAATCATCTTTTTTTTTTTTCCCTCAGATGGAGTCTTGCTCTGTTGCCCAGGCTGAAGTGTAGTGGCACAATCTCGGCTCACTGCAACCTCTGCCTCCTGGGTTCAAGTGATTCTCCTGCCTCAGCCTCCCAAGTAGCTGGGATTGCAGGCACGTGCCACCATGCCCAGCTAATTTGAAATTGTTAAGCACAAAATAGCACTCTATACTATCTTATCTACACATCTTGGATTACTAGTTTCTTACTTTTAGTATTATTATTGACTGTTCAGCTTTCTCCTTTAGTCAATGCTCTTTTTACTCATTTTAAACTGATTTACCATATGTTTTTCTTTATCTATTTGGAAGAACTAATTTTATATTAAATATATCAATCACCTGTCTAATCTTTTACGACCATTTTCAACAATTTATGCTTATATTTTTATAGTGCTTATATCCTCATATAAAACATTTATATGTGTATCTGGATATATTATCTTTATATTTACCTGGATATCTAATATATTTCTATTTTAATGTTTTGGATACTATCAATTATTTCCTCCATTATATTTATGAATATAGACAATATGATTACAATGCATTTTTCAACCTAATAGTTCTCCACGTATTCAAATACTTCCTTTGCCTTGTTCCTATTTCTGTCATTTAAATATCAGTTTGAAACTTAGTCTGAGTTTGTATTCAGAGATAAAGATTTATTTTTTCTCAGTTTTATTTGTTTTGCTAACACTATTGGTTAATAATTCGTCCTGCTCACCTGATGTGATATGGTTCTTCAGTAGTAGTTCCTGATAAATTACTTTAAGCTCTCTCCAGCCCTTTCATTCCATTCTTTACGTTGTGACCATTTGAAAGCAGAAATATAACCAAGCTACCACTTAAAATTTTTCAGTGATTTTCTATTGCTATTAGGGTAAAAAACAAAATTATTATAATGGAAACAAGATTTTAAGACTGGCCTGTCACTCTATGCTAATCTCAGTTGTTCAACCTCTGGCCCCACTGGCTTTCCTGTCTTAGGGTCTTTGCACAGGGCATTTCCAAAGTCTGGACTGCTTTTCTCACTTTTCAGTAGTAATTCCCAGAGGAGAGTCTGAGCAGGCACTTCTGGGATGCATCACATTGTTCTCATAGCGCTCTGTGGTTTTTCTTAAGGTCAATTATGAGAGTATGTCTATAGTTAGGGCTATTTAATGTTTTGCTCCATCTGAAGTCAGAATCAGTGTTTGACCTCAGAACTTGACATCTTTCCTGGCATATAGTACATGCACATTAGAAACATTAGTTGAGTGGGTAAATGAATGCATTAATTTTTCAACACCTTGTGGTTATGAGAAGATTTCTTTTACTTTAATATTGAATGTAAAACAGCTTAAAAATTTTACAAATATTTAAGTCTGATAAACTCCCTTTTGTTATTATTTTGTTTTTGATCTTTTAGGTAGTAAAAGACAAAGTCAATGAACGAAGCAAATTACACTGAGGTATCTCAATTTGTGTTGCTGGGACTTTCTATATCTACACCAATACAGCATTTCTTCCTTGCTGTCTCTACAGTGTTTTATGTAACAATTCTTCTAGGGAACCTCTTTGTTGTGTTTATAGTAAGCTTTGACCCTCATTTACATTCCCCCATGTACTTCCTTTTAGCCAACCTTTCATTTATGGATTTGTGCTTTTCTACCTTAACAGTTCCTAAGATGATTTCTGACCTGTACTCTGGGCACAATACCATATCATTCCAGGGGTGTGTCATCCAGATATTTGTCCTTCATGTCCTGGGTGGATCTGAGATGGTGCTGCTCATAGCCATGGCCTTTGACAGATATGTGGCCATATGTAAGCCCCTTCACTACCTGACCATCATGAACTCACGGATGTGCGTTCTGCTTCTGTCTAGTGCTTGGGTTTCTGGTCTCATTCACTCAGTAGCCCAGTTGGCTTTTGTTGTCCATTTGCCTTTTTGTGGTCCTAACGAGATAGATAGCTTTTACTGTGACCTTCCTTGGTTTATCAAACTTGCCTGCATAGACAGCTACAGAATGGAGTTCTTGGTTACTGCCAATAGTGGGTTAATTTCCATAGGCACTTTCTTTTTATTGATTATTTCCTATATCTTCATCCTGGTCACTGTATGGAAACACTCTTCAGGTGGTTTATCCAAAGCTGTCTCTACTCTTTCAGCTCATATCACTGTGGTGGTTTTGTTCTTTGGACCATGCGTCTTTGTTTATATGTGGCCATTTCCCTCAGTGTCAGTGGATAAATTTCTTGCCATTTTGGACTTTATGATTACACCCATCCTGAATCCTGTCATTTACACATTGAGAAACAATGATATAAAGATGACAATGAAGAGACTGAGTAGTCATCTCCTGAGTCTGAGGAAGATCTCCTGAACAACTTATAAGGGCACAAATAATGCCTTCTATAAGCACCACTGTAAACAACTTTTTAAAAGTTATACTATCTTGAGACAATTTATTGTCCTTAATCATGAGCTCAAACACAATCATGAGCTCAAACACCTTAGAAAGTTTATTCCAGTTTAGTAACCAATAATGTGAATACGTATTTAATCCCTTACCTATGGGCTATTTTGCATAGTTCATAACTTTAAAATACAGAAAACATACTGTCATGTGGCTCACATTTTAACTAGTCCATAGAACATCTGAGAAGTTTGTCAACTTTATTCCACAGTGCCACATTTACAGATTTACTGGTATATACTGATATTTTCTTCTGTTACTAGGTTGGAAAATATTCTTATCTAAGAGAATGATTGGTTCCCATCACAGTTATTATTTGGCAAGCAGAGCAGTTTCACATTCTGTGTTGATTCAGGTTTGCTGATTTTTCATTTTCTTCCTTTGTACTGTTACCTATGTTAATAAATGTACTCAGTTCCATACATTTTATAAGAAATATAATTTGTTTCATAGAATATTGTGAAATACTCACATACACATAAAATAGTCAAGTGGACAAAGATATATTAAATGCTCAGTAGTGCTTTGAATGCCTTTTTAGGATCTGGTCACTAAGAGGTCAAAGATGGTCTTCTTTTCCTCAACCTTGAGTTTAACCATGCCCTTTAAAAGTGTGCTGGTGGTAAAAAGTTATGAATTTAGACCAAATATTCGGTCAAAGAAAGTAGAACTAGGCTAGGATAGAAAAATATTAAAGAGAGGGACCTCAGATATAATCTTGCTCAGCAATGGATCCAGTGCAGGAATGAACACCACTGTATTGTCAACCATTAAGCAACCTATTCTTTTAAACTTCCAGGTAGGAGAAACTGACCAGTGCATACAGCAACACAGCACCTTTTGTAAACTACCTATTCAAATTGAAATTGTATTTTTATAGTGAGATGGAATTTGCTTCCCTATGGCTTTCATATTGCATTTCTCATTTTATAATCTGGATTTGTCCAAAATAAAGTATTTTTATGGTACCTCCTCCTTTCATGTTGGAAAATAAATTATGATTCTATTATGTCTTCCAGTTTTAGGGTTAAATATTTATTCTGAGGCTAAACATATTGAATCTTAAATCTTTTTAGACAAAATTCCCCGTCTTGAAATTTTCACCGTACAATTTTAAAAAATTACTATGAGGCAACCTTTTCGAAATATCAGCTTTATTTTCCAAATCCTAATAAATTCTCTAGCAATTGTTTCATATATCATTAAATGTTTTTGGAATTTGCAAGAAGGGTGCATATAGATTACAGAAATAGCTTAGTCATATGGTTTCATATATCAGATGGACTAGGTCAAATTAATTAACTGGAAGGAAATTTGTAGAAAATTTTTGAAGGAACTATAGAATACATTATAATTTGTTCAGATATTTGCATTTTATATGTATCTTTACATACCAGATGTGTGTTAAGAAGCAGATTAATGGCAGTCTTCTGCACGTGTTACTGTAGTCGGGAATTTTGCTTTGGAACTAGGTTCTTTCGTGTTAAAAGGTTAAGATTCTGGAATAGCCAAGAGCATATGGGAGCACTCAACAATCAAATTAAAAGTGACCATAACTGTTATAATGGATTGTGTTATGAGCTGAATCTTGTCTTGCCCAGATTCATATGTTGAAGTGCCAAACGCTAGTACTTCAAAAAGTAACCCTATTTGGAGATAAGGCCTTTATTTTGAAGTGGAGATTAGGTTAAAACAAAACTGTGAGGGGTGGGGCCCTAATGGTGTCCTTATTAGAAAACAGGCATCTGCAATGTGTTATTTTTTAAGTGACACTCAGGCTGAAAAACAAGATATAAAATTGTATACCAAAAATATAAAGACAAATTTTTTAAATTAAAAAGAACAGGTAGAGACAATATTATGAAAGACATGTTAATAACACAAAACTAAACCAAGTAAAACTGTGAAAAGAATAAGACTGATCCATTAAAAGGTGTTGACAACTGATGTCTAATCTAACGTCAAGTGGGCAACACAATAAGGAAAAGTAAAAATATTCAATTAACAAAATCAAACCATAGTAAATATTTTGGGGATATATATATATTTATTTATTTCTAACTCTCTAATGGAGAATATATCTCTTTAAGTGTACACATAACTGAAAATACCATATATTTCTTCACAAGACAAGATTTTCAATGAAGTAAAATAAAATAAAATGTTCTGACTTCAATGCAATAAAAGTAGATATTAACTGATCGAAAATATTTATGACCTCTTGGGGATAAAAAAAAATTACATTAAACAACTTATTGGAGTATTAACTAAAATTAGAGTGGTTATAAAAATACAGGAGGATTCAGAGTAAAATTCAGAGAAATCTTGTATTTTACTCCAATAAGTAGTATTTTATTATTGATGTTGGTCCTGACATTTTGGAATATTTTTGTATATATTATTAAAAAATGGATATTACTGATATTAGGATCAAAGATTTTTCATGGAAGAGAAACTAGATACAAATATAAAAGAAATAAAGCAAAAATCTATAACATTAAATTGACAAATTAATGTTTTAATTAATAAATTCATATTTAATTATTTGTAACTAAATCAAAGATTAAATTTTGATTGGATTGATATTTAACTATAAATTTGACTTAATCTAAAAGCTTTCATTTATAATGCCTATCACTAAAAGGTAACCATACATAAAAGAAAGTTGAAAACCAATAGAAAAACCAGACCCAAAAAATAGATACACAGGAACTCCAGAGATGTGGACTTAACAAATAAAATCAATGTGGTCAATTAATTAAACTAGAGGTTGGAAAATTTTGGCAGGGAGTTGGAAATTCCAAAAATGAATTTAATGTAAATTCTGAAACTAAAATTGCAATAATAAAAAGTAAGAACTCAGTGAATGAATTTAAGAACAGATTAGATATAAATTAAAAAATTAACAACTGGAGGAGGGTCAAGAAAACATATTTTCTTGACTGATACTTTCATTGGTTTTGAAAATTTCTCACCTATTACATCTTCAAATATCACTTTCTGTTTATTTGCTCCTTCCTTGTAGGATTCCAATTACACTTATGTTAGACCATTTTAACATGTCCTATATGCTCTATGTTTTATCTTTTCATGTATTTTATATTCTTTTTAAAATGTTCATTCCTCAGTCTAGATATTTTTAGTTAAACAAAATGGGAAAAAAATCTGTCACTTGAGGACTTGTAAAAGTGTTAAGAAGGTTTTTCAGTGTACAAAAGAAAAAATATCCCAGATGGAATTTCAAAGGTATAAGGAGACAAAAAAAAAAAGCTGTAAAAGTTCTTATGTTGGGAAATCCAATGGTCTGTAAAATACTTTTTGGATGTAAACTACATATAGAATTTTAAAAATGACAGTAATAGCACAAACAGTAAGCGAAGCTTATGAGTTCTAAGATAATTGAATTGTCTGTGAATTGATAACACATAGTAACTTAAAACTGGTTCTAATAAGCTAAGGGTGGGTGTTGTAATCTCTATGGTGAGAACTAAATGGAGGTAAAAATATATATTTAAGTAGCTCTTAGAAAAAATAGAATAATAATCACAAACACAGTAAGAAAGAAGGGAAATCAACATAAACAAGTGTGACAAGTAGAAAATACACAGATAATTGGTGAAATCTCATGTATATCAGTAATTATATTTCTGTAAATAGACTAAATAATATAATTAAAAGACATGGAGCCAGACTGGATAAAAAGAAATAAATTTGAACTATATTATGCTTTCAGGAGACCCAACTGAAGTTTAAGTTTACAAAAGAGTTGAAAATAAAAGGATAGAGATGCAATATACACATAAAAACCAAAAGAAAGCTTACTTAGATAATGTACACTTATATTAGGTAATGTATACTTTTAAGGCAATATAGAGATGGAAGAAAACATTTTACAATAATTAAAGTGTCAACATAGCAGAAAGACATAACACTTTAAATGTGTATGTCCTTAATTACATGCCTTCAATATATGTAAGCTGAAAAAGTTTCAAAACTCCAGGAACCCCAATAGGTTTTCATTGTAAATATTTGAAACATTCTCCTGGTTCTACTGAGAAGGGGGCTGAGGAAGAAGAGTAATATTTGTAAAATATACCCAGAGCTGTTTCCATAACAGAGGACAGCAGAAAGAACATTATCACAGCTCAATTTAAAAACTTTTTCCAGATGGGGAAGAAAATTCCTCCTACTCCAACCCTCTCCAGTCTCCTTTCCTAACTAAGAGAAAACAAACAAAACAAGGATGACAACAAAACTCAGCAGGGTTCAGGGCTTTCGAGAAAATAGAGTGAGAATGCTACAGTCTTGGAATGAAGTAGGAGGCAGGAGAGTTAACAAGCTAACCTACTGGAGAAACGCTGTAATAATCCTGGCCCTAAAACACAGACACATTGAAAGATGGAGATGTAATCAGAAGATTGTAAAACACTACCCTTCCCCAACAATTTACCGACATACCAACAGAGCTTCTGTATAGTAACAGCCTACAATTGACAGCTACATGACAACAGACTTTCTCTGAAGAAAGATGTGTAGGGAAGCCCAAAATCAAGAGAGGAAAATAAAACAAAGACACTAAAGAAATTCAGCCTCTACTAAGCCAAGGAAAGAAGCCATGAGCTTGAAGATCCCCAAACTGAAATGCAAAGAGAAAAAAATAGAATAAAAAAGAAAGCAGAAGAAAATAGTCAAAAAATTGTGAGAAAATGAAAAGGGATGTAAGTGGGAAAGAGAAGAGAAAGAATAAAAACAGAACTGAGCAGGAGAAATATTTGAAGTAATAATGATGGACAACTGTCTAAAATTAATGAAAAAATCAAACCACTGATCCAAGGATGCCAGAGAACAGCAAGAATGAAAAGTACAACAAAAACCCAACACATGTAGACATATACAAACTGCAAAAA